ATATAAAAATTTAGCAATGCCGAAATTTTTGCCAAAAATATGATTTTTCAAAAATAATTTAGACACCCATGTATAACCAGGTGTATATAATGGTTCAATGCATCCATAAACCATTACTCCTTCATCATTAAGAAATAAAGTATCAAGTATATGAATGATCTCATCATTTGAAAATTTCATTTTAAAAATCACCATCTTGTTTATATTTCTTAAAGTAACGTCTTTAACATAACGTTCAACAATCATTATTGGTGAATGGTGAATGAATTTAAATTGATCTGGTCCGTGAACGCAAGTCATTTCTGCTGAAATAAAAATTGGTTTATATCCAAGTGAGAAAGAGACTTCGCCCTTCCAGGCTCCATTGAAGCTTTCATTCTGCGATGGTCTGTTGTTCATCGTTTCTACAATTTCCCAGAAAGTGTTGACGTCATCAAAGATCTTGCGGTGGTCCTTTTAAAAATAAATGAAATAGAAACAATGTCAGAAGGTAATAGCAACAAAATTCGTTACTGTAACAAATTACTTACATCAAAAAATTTCAACATATTTGTTGCTTTTGTCTTATGTTCGGATCGTTCATCATCAAGGAATTTGGTGAGATAGTTTCTTAAAATTTGGGACTCGGCTTCGAATGAATATTTGAACTCCTTTGTATGGTATTTGATCTTAAATAATAATAATCCGAGAAACGCCAATGTTTAGGTTGACTTTCGTTAAAATAATCCATGGTTAAATTTTAATGGAATGTTAAAGCGATTTTTTGGTATTAAAAAAAAAAAAAAAACACCTCCACTTTTATAAGCGATTGTAAATAAGTTAAATAAATAAAATTAAATAAAATAAAACTCGCTTACCGAAATAGTTAGGATAAGAAAATGTTTACTGCTACGGCTCACAGCAGAGCCACTGGATTTTAGTAGCATCTAAAATAACACTAGCGATATTACGAAAACAATCATTTAAATTCAATGAAATTTTTATTCTCGTAATATCCCTAGTGCTATTTTAGACGCTACTAAAAAATAACCAACCATAAAAAAAATCAGTGTTCCAAGTAGAACGAAAAAAAATGAAGTTCTTTGTGTTCCAAGTAGAAAAAAAAAAGAATTTCTTTGTTTTGGATATAAAATATCAATTACATAATTTTGAACATTTAATAATTGTGATGTAATTGGAATTATATAATGCATCCAGAAAGTATGTACCAGATTGATTCACCACAGTCCTCTAATTTTTCTAGCATCTAAAATAGCACAAGTAATCAATATATAAAATTAAAAATAAAACAATTTCAGTTTGATTTGGTTATGCGATTCAATTGATGTAATATCACTAGTGCTATTTTAGATGCTGGAAAAATTCGAGGACTCTGACCACAGTGTCTGCAAAATCGACAAAATAAAAAATTGTATTCTCTTTTGCTTTGTTTTTTCACCTTTTCATTGTTAATTTTTTTATTGTACTAATTTTTGAGAAGACTACGGATCTATTATCCGTTGGATACTAAATTTAATATAGAAACTGATAATGGATCCAAGTTCTAATCCAGAAGCTAAAAAATTCATTATTGTATACTATATTAATTATTTGAGCTTCCACATTAAACCAATAAATTAAATTAGCCTATGTTGTTTGATGAGTTTTGTATTTACTAAACCATATTTGTTATATACATACATACATTGAAAAATGTTAAGATAACGATTTTCATGGATTTTTAAAGAATCTAACCCTATCTAAACTACTATGGCACATCAACCTGTACGCGCTTTTACAATAGGATTTATGCATTGATTATCAAGGCACAGCCAGTTATGTCTTGATTACAGGATTAGGTTATTATGTATCGGCTATCTTTGATTTGCAACCAGGTTTGAAATTAGTCAGTTACAAAACTATTTTAAAAAATCAACTATAGAATCGGAAAATTACAGCTATGGTTAGGTATCTACACAATACGATTTAAAATTATATAATTCGTATTTTATGGTGTAAAAACTTCGGTACTATAATAAAAACGAATAAGTATCTTTCTAGATTGACTTATCTATACATCAACATATGCCAGCGAATAGATTTCTTGTTAAACTGACATTTGGATATCTCTTCATGGCTTGATTAACTCCTACGTTCATGGAGATCCCCAAAATTCCAGGTCGGAATGCATCGGAACCTTGGTCAGGCCGGAGTTGATCAAGATCACTAAAAATTTTACTAATGAAATCATAGTCGTTCATTAAGTAAAAAGTGCATTCGGAACCGGAAACTAGGGGGATCCTCCTGTAAAAATAGGCTAGATAATGTCAATATAATATAATCTGATGCATAGCAGATAATTAAAAGTAAAGGGATAAAAGGTAATATTCGATAAAGCATGTGGATTAATTAAAAAATTCGGATCATAAATTTTTTATTAAAATAATTATTTATCGCTCTTAATTAGTTAGATTGACGATCTGTATCATTTTTTTTTTTCTTGGAGTCCGTGAGTCAGTCGTATTTTGTGAAATTTATTTATCAATAAAAGGGAATTACAGCTGTTTTCGATTTAGGTGGGTCGACGGTAATTTTTTTTTTTTTTTTTGCGCTC